AAAAGCATGTAAAACCTTTAAAATACGTTGTAAAATCCAGACACTGGAATAAATCAGAGATGATAAACACAAAGTTAAAGCAATAAAATCATTATCAGTAAAAAACAAAACTTTGAAAAGCATGTAAAATACGTTGTAAAATCCAGAAGTGAAAATAATCAGAGATGATATACAGATTTTGCTTGAATAAAGCTTCTAAAAAACAGAGATCAGTTACCTGAAATTGACAGAGCCGGACACAGAGAGAGAGATACAGATCTCGCTTAAAAAATCGAATCCAGCAGATCTCGCTTAGAACGATAGAAAATCGTTACAGGTTGAAAATCAAACACATCACAAGGGAGAGAACAGATCTAAGAATAGAGAAACAGATTTAGGAATAGATCGTTGCGCGATTATGTTGATCGATTGGAACTAATCTAGATCTAGATCTAGGAATAGAGAGAGAGAGAGAGAGAGAGAGAGAGAGAGAGAGAGAGAGAGAGAGAGAGAGAGAGAGAGAGAGAGAGAGAGAGAGAGAGAGAGAGAGAGAGAGAGAGAGAGAGAGAGAGAGAGAGAGAGAGAGAGAGAGAGAGAGAGAGAGAGAGAGAGAGAGAGAGAGAGAGAGAGAGAGAGAGAGAGAGAGAGAGAGAGAGAGAGAGAGAGAGAGAGAGAGAGAGAGAGAGAGAGAGAGAGAGAGAGAGAGAGAGAGAGAGAGAGAGAGAGATAGCCGCTCGATGGAAGAGAAAGAGAGAGGAAGACAAAAAAAAATCTGATTCTAGGGTTGAAAAGGGGAAGGGTATTTTGGTCAGTTTAGACATTTTTGAGGGGCATTTTTAAAAATCACCAGCTGAAAGGGGTATTATTAAAAAAGGGCATATGAAAGGGGGCATTATTAATAATTTCCCTATAACCTATAAAGAAATATAATTTATTAATAAAATTTAAATAATAGTAATAAAATATTTAAAAATATTATTATAATATAAAATATTCCAGATCCGGATATCCGGCTTTTAATTTTCTATTATCCGGATCCGCTTTTTCATTACCCGGATCACCCGGATATCCCATTTTTCAGAACGGATCCCGGAAAATTGGTCTAAGGGCTATGCATGGCATATTCAATTCACGTTTTTATTCGAATATTTATAATTCATTTCGAGGAGAACCAAGAATGTAACTTTTATTTATAATATAATATAGGAAGTCTAGCTATAATAATAACTTATATCCGGAAGCAGTTGATGATTATTAAAAAGATATGACAAACTTCAAAGAAACGCATGTCGCTCGGTGAATTCCCGAGCTCTCTGGTCAAATTGGAATCTGTTATTCTTGTAAAGTTCTCCAATTTCAGGTACAAGAGGATCATCTGGGTTTGGATCCGCCAACAGTGCAGTTATGGACAAGAGCACCTGTTAAAACAATTCGAAAACAATGAATAGAATGAGAAAGAACAAAATAAACAAAATATTTGTTTGTGAATCAAGTTTTTGAACCTTTTCAACAGTGAGAGAAGGAGTCCACTTGTCTTTAAGAATGTCAAGACAAATCGATCCTCTGGAATTGATATTTGGATGGTAAATCGGAGTTTTGAATGTAAACTGTTACAAAATAAATCATAAAACATATTTTTTTTGTAAACAACAAAATTAACCTTTCAAATTTCAAATTTATAATAGATAACCAACCTTGGGTGGTTTAAAAGGATAATCTTCAGGAAACTCAATGTCGATGCTAAACATGCCACCGGCATAAGGAGTACCTTGGGGTCCTTGAATCATCGCTTGCCATTTGAATACATTGTTTAAGTCGTCTCTACCTATAGTGATACATATCATCAACAAGTAGTATTGTTATACTTAACACCAAAAACATAATTATAATAATCTACTTATTTATATGGTTGTGGACTTGTGGTTACAACTGAAAATATTAGTATGGTACATACTACATACATACACTAGATAGTCAAGTTTCTAACGTTTATTGACAAAAGTGACACAAGCAAAATCGTTAGATTTAGAATGTGGATATTATTTGTATTGATAATGCAGAAAATAAAAATAAAAAGAAGTCCTAACCAATACTGTACAAAGAAGCTGGGGAGGTCATGTCCCTGAATTCTTTCGCAATTCGCTGCATCGCTTTAGCCTTCACCGACATTTTTTACAGTAACTCACCAAACTATTTCCCTATGCAAGAAATGAAACAACAAGAAGATTGTTGTTAGTATATATGATGGTGTTGTAAAATGTAATGGAAAATTTGTAAAAAATAGATAAATCATAATTGTTTACTTGGAAGATGTTAGTATGAAATTGTATTGGAATCAAATGAAAGGATCTCGGACCTTATATAGTTTCAGAAAATATAACTAATAAATGTCTTCATTATTATTATTATCACTGTTAATAATATCTTTTATTGTTGATATCTCTGCTTTTATATCTTATCTACATGCTTAAAAACAAATCTTGCATACATAAACAGAAATAACTCAAATATAACCATTAATAGTATAGCATTAGATATTTTTAATGAAATTTAAATAAATTTATGTAAAAAATAATTACAAAATATTATAAAGCTTGCAAAATTTCTCAGATTTTCATTGGCCAACTGGCTGGTAAAAAAAAGTTTATAAAAATGAAAGGGGCTAATTTTTTTTTTTAAATAAGAATCATGCATGTTCAATAGTTTCTCAGATTTTAAAAGTCTACTTTAATAACATTACTTTGAAGACTAATATTATATTTAAAAAGATAAGAAAGAGATAGGAAATATTATGCAATTTCTGAAATTTAAGTTAGAAAAGAAATCTATGAACAAATTGAAATCTTATAAACTAAATGAAATATACTTTAGAACATATATTTTTTAATAATTAATAAGTTAGTATTTAGTTATTTATAAAATGTCTTAACCTAGATTTTTTTTTTTTTTTTTTGTCAACAACTTAAATTAAAGCTCAAAAGAGGCATTCCTGAGGAATGAACCTAAATCTTGTGTTTTTCTTTATTTTTGGTAAAGGGGTTTTGTCGCACTAAACTTAAAAAAAAAAAAAAAACATTGCAAATTAGGAAATCAAAACTCGGACCTAATCAACCACAAAGGTGAGAAAACAAATACAACCCAACATATATAACCTTCTCAATCTTGGTACACCCATCAGTGACTTTTTTTTTTTTTTTTTTTTTTTGATATCTTTGGATCGACAAGGCCCGATCCATAGCCAATCCCTACTACGCGGGGTAACGCAACTTAGTGGAGTCGAACTCCGGTAGAGAAGGCGGAGTCAAATGGACTTAACCACTTGACTAAAGGCACATCCCCCACCCATCGGTGACTATCTTTTGCATAATCTAAAAAACCTCATTTCTCAATTCTTCATCCGAAAGTCACCACAAAAACATCTCAAATATCTCAATTCATCATCCTAAAATCACCAGAATGCATCTTACGAAACAAGTAGAGCACCCTATCAAAACCTGAAACCGGAATTCCAGCCCACTTTTCGAATCGCAACGACACAATTGTGCGACTACAAAAAAAATCTATTCTATAAATTTCATCAGTAAGCCTAGATGAATGGATGAGCGAGCAATGATGAAGTTTTCTTACACTAACTTAGAATTTGTGATCAAAGAATGGCAAAAGCAGGTACATATTAATAAAAGGGATCTCAGAAGAAATGAAATGATCTGGTCCTTAGAAAAATTACATAGAGAAGATCAGAAAATTTTAACATTCAAGAAACATTTTGTGTCAAAGATCCTATACTTCTCAACACATTTAAACCGCAACATTGGGCGCCGCTGGATACTCTTCATACCCTGTGATTCCTGTAATCCTAATCCTCGTATTTGGCTGCAGTACCAAGACAGAAATCATATAAGTGTCGTTATTTACAGTTCTACAGATTCATCAGCCATAACAAATTACGATGGCAGTCTGTGGTGTGGATTATAACATTACATAGTTCGAATTCAAGGAACAGAAGCTGGATTTATCAACAGTGGATATATACCTGTCGGTGACCAATATTTCTACGGTATTTCTTCTTAGGCTTGTACTTGAAGACTACCACTTTGTCATTCAGACCCTGTAGCAAATAAAAACATTGCAGTTATCCAACACAAAACACCAATAAGAAAATAAGAAAGCATTTGTATTAATTTACCTGATTTTCTACTACAGCATGTACAGTTGCGTTGGTCACAACCGGTTTGCCAATGTAAGTGTGTGTCTTTGTTCCAACAAGCAACACTTTGTTGAGAACAATCTGCACAAGAGAAGAAGCAAATATGAAAACTTCAGGAATCACCAAAAAAGCAACAGAGAACAGCTTAATACAATGTTAACATAGACAAAAAAAAAAATAGAACTTCTACACAAGCCACAAAGATTAACTCAATCTTCCATAGTTACACCATCCCTTTATAGATATATCATTTCGTTTCACCGAAATTTTACAAAGAAGAATTCAAATCATTGAAAGCAAATGTGCATATACCTGATCATCGACATTTGCATCTTTCAGCCTCTGAGTATAGAGATATCTCCCTGGAAACACTATGTATTGGCGTCCACCAACCTATTCAACCAAAGAGAACAACACTAAACTAAATCAGATATAGCAAATGAAAGAAGCAACATTCATAAGAAAGCCAAACTCTTCAACATTCGTAACGCCTAAACACTAACTAATAAGAGAATATACCACAAAACACAGTCTCTCATGATCAGACTCTGAATCAACCAAAATGAATTCAAAAGCAAACTCATCCAAATCAACCAAAACTAGTTGCAAATGCCAAAGATTAAATCAAAATTGAAAATTACTCTTCGTTTTATTCTGCAGCTAAACCTAAACCTAATTCTTAAGAGTATACGTATGATACAAAACACAGTCTCTCATTATCAAAACTCTAAAAGCAAACTCATCAAATCAACCAAACCTAGTTCCAAATTCCGAAAGCTAAAACCGAAATTGAGAATTTGTTCTTTCATTTGATTCAACAAACTCACCATAACAACAGCGAAAATCTCTTCTCGTTTAGCTTTCTCCTCAGTAACTTCCGAAACATCGGAAACCACCACAGCTTCGATATCGGTAGTTTCTGGTTCAGCTTCGACGACTGATTCAGCGAATTTAGGAGCGACGGTGAATGCGGTTCGAGACGTCGACGCAGTGGAAGGAGAAAGAAATCCAGACACAGGTTTAGCCAAATTAAGTGAAGGTTTAGAGAGAGAACACAGGATAGTACTCGAACGGCGTGAAGTGACATTGCAATGAGCAGAGAAAGTAGAGCAGAGAAAGTAGAGCAAAGTTCTTTTCTTCTTTATTCTTCTTTCACCTTACGACTTCTCTTTCTTCTTCCCTTCTTTCCAAAAAAACGATTTTAATTTTTAACTACGGTTGCATTGATAAACACATTTATAATATATAAAAAAGTTTGTTATTTTCTTTACCT